TTTCAATAAATTCTTTTGTCAAAACCACTTGCAATCTGATTCATAGCTGAGCGCCTTGCCGCCGGTTACATATATACTGTGTATATAATATCATATTTACCTGAAATACATTTTGCTGCAACTCCAAGAATAGCACCATAGAATACCATCAACAAAAGATTCCCACTTATCTAGAAAAAAACCACTTGTAAGTCATTAAAAATACAAGATCAATCTTTAGTTCAGTAAATACATGCCATTATAAAGACTAAGCTATTATTATATTCTCTTAAAACAATAAAATGAGAGCGAAGGACAGTAAGGAATTATTATGAACTTTATGAATTTATGTCATATTATATATGTAAGTATTAAAATATGTCCTACATTATGGTTGATACTCTAAAAATTAAAAACGTTTTTCAGTTTTATTACACATTCTTTCATTATCAAGCTAGGTTTGCATGATTTTATGGTTCTGTGGTTTTGAAGCCAAGCTAAAAACCTCAATCATGCATAACATATAGGTTTGAAGACAGGAATGAATTTTACACACACACAAATTATCACATCAAAAAACCATGAAAATGTATGCAAGTTGACAAGGTTACCATCATAAGAACCTTTAGGAAACATTATTTCTCAACAATTTCTTTCTTTCATAATATTATCATAATCTACACTAATGTAAATGATGAAATTGGGTGTGTTTGGAGTTTTGTTTACAGCCTCTAGAATGTAGTCATCAGTGACCATTTTTTAGATTATTGAATGAATGCTTATTATTGTGTGTATTATCTATCAATATTCAATGCCTTAAAACACGTTTTTCTGCTTGGTTGATCATTAAGCATTTACAAAATAATTTTTAAAAGGACTATATACAATTTCATGAGAAAGAAAAAAAATTAGTTTTTTAAATTATGGCTCTTTTTTAGACTCCTGCAATAAAGAAAAGGAATAATCCTATAAAAATATATTTGTGCTGTATATTTATGAGTGATGTCGCCGAGAGAGTAAAAACCACATATTTTAAATTTAATAATTCAAGAAGCTAAGAAATATTCAATATTCATGAGTTTTTCAATTAGTACATTTAATTTTTTTTTTTTTTTAATTTTTTTTCTGAAAATGAAATGCAATGTGAATGAGTTGAAGAAGATAATTAAGAATGCCTGACTCTGTCATGACAGGGTTGACAAAAACTATTTGTCGATAAATTAGTTGGTCGACATGCATTGGACCTTATGGATCAAAATCATTTTTAATCAACCATGCAGTGAAACAAATGACTCAAAGGACTTGATGCTTCTACGGTAGCTTATCAATCAATAACACTTCAATGAAACCTAGATAGATAACAATAGATATTTTTAAATGCAAAACTGAAATATTCCTATTATGACTAATTTCTGCTTGAAGACTACTATAATCGCACAAAGCCACAGATCATATCCTAATCTTTTTTCAAAAGACTGTTTCCTAGATACCACAGGCCATATAATTTTATACAAACACTCAACTCATTTGAAATGGAAATTTATTCAAAACAAATCGAAAACTATTACACTGCACCTGTAAATTTTATCGCCCAAGTCTTTCAATTTATACGTATTTATTAGGCGAAAAGAGAAAAGAAAAAAACGACGTTAGAATTAGACATGGTTTTACATCATCAATTATTGATGTTTTTTGGTGAATTTTCGAATATATTAAACCTTCTGTATTCTTTTAGTGGATCGAGTAGAACAGATATCATAACAACCGCACGGATTATTTTATTTTTTTTACATTATTCAACCGGTCCGCTTGTTTAATCACAATCTTAGCATCATGCCATGTTCACTTTAGTATACAAAAAATTCGTTCTTTATATCAATGTACGAAAAAATAATGTACGAAAATATATTAGGAAAAATTTACACTGCTTAGACAAATACAGCTTATAAGCGATTTTCAATTAAAACCGATCTCAATACAAACTTGAGCCGGCGTGCTCGGGGTTATCTAGCTGATTTACAGAAAAAATACTAAAAAATTTAACAGAACTACGTTATACTAACTAGCCATAAGCTAGAATAGCCATAATTCCTAATATATCTTAATTGAAAGAAGTATTACAAACAATACAAGCCTCTTATTGCCAATACATGCAACTAAAAACTTATCACACTAGCTATATTTTATGTAGCATTTTCATCTAACTTCAACCTGAATTTCATTTTTTCTTTTACCTCTAGAGAAGAAAATACATCATAAACCTCACAAATATAAGATTTGTTTATCTAAAGTGGCAAATATATCAAAGTAATTCTTGATCCTATTTCTTGACTTAATTTTAGGTAATAAAAGCAGTCAAAAATATTGCATATATAGAATTTCAACGACCTAAGTGAAGAGTCGAGCTTTGCTTCTCATATTTACTTTTTGACTTTAAATTAGAATTTTATTCTAAAAATGAGACTTGAAAGAATGTTATATTATAGACAAGATGTGGATAAAAATGAATGTTTAATGAAACATTAACGGCTTACCGTTGAGGAGCAAGGATATATGCCATTTCTCTCTTCCAGACATGGCGCTAGTTTCTCAGATTCATTCGCCTTGCTTTTATTCCCTGATTCTTCAACAGCCTAAAAGAAAAAACATGCAAACGAAGAGTTTAATTCTAATCGGGCACTCCCACTGCAAAGCTAAGTTGTACTTCAAACAATTCCACAGCAAAAGAACAACTAGACTTTCGTTGTAAATATAAACATTACCCGTCGAAATAGAGGGTGAGAACTAGAGGGGCTCAGTAGCTGAAACGCGAAGAAAATAAAGACGGTGATGTACAAAGGCTTGATAAAGCGCGCCATCTTGAAGCTAAAGATGTCTTCTTGAGTCACTGCCTTCCACAACGAAGCCAAGCAAGCAAAGGATGGACAATATTTGAGCGTTATAGACGCGTAAATGAGTTTTCTGTGGAGGGGCGTGACAGCTTAATTCTAGCTTCCGATTGAAGGGATCACCCGGGTGGAAAATAATGTATTCGGAATGCTGAGAAAACTCTCTCAAGCTATTATATTCCGCTTCACTGGCATCGCATAAACAACGCCGTACCATTCAACCGAAAAAAGCTTGCCCAGATCTAAACGAGAAAAAATATATAAGTTGATGCTGAAGGTCTAAACTTAAAGATCGACTTGCTCCGGTAAAATATGTAAATCATTTTGTGGAGGGAAAAAACTAATTGATCATCCAGAATCTTATTCAAAATCAGCGGTATTCTAAAGAACACAGCGAGCCCAGAGATCACGTACAAACCTTTTAAAGATTTAATTAAAAAAATAAGCAATAAAAAAAAAAGTTTATAAAAAGTAATACTTGATTATTTAACAATCAAATTACAAAAGTAATCTTGCTTAAGGAGAATGAAATTTAAAGGAGAAAATGTATTATAGTGTAAATAAGCAGCGTTTAGTTGTTGGCAAATAAAAAACCAGAGTTGGTGATGCTCTTCTAAGCATATCTTTTTATATATGGGGCTTTTCGAGTTCTTTCTAGTTTTCTAGCTTTATTAGCCTTCTTTGAGTTAACAAATCAAATACAATATAAAAATAACTCAGTCGTTACATAATGTAAGTGAAGTGCTGCGGATATATGCCAGACCACATCTTACCAACAGCCAGCACCGTCAGCACCAAGATACTTGAAAACATTCATCAACAGACTACTAAAGGCTAGGGCAAACGTCGAACTTTCCATGCACCGTACTTAATTACATCAAAGAATGCCGCCTCATCATCACCTGATATCCATCGTTTTTAATGAGTTCGGTGCATGGAAAGTTCGACGTTTGCCCTAGGCCTAAAGGAGAATATATATATAAGCATATTATGCAAGTCAAAAAATGCATTTAAGGAATATAAAACGGCGCGCATGTCTATATACTGTGATATAAACACGATGGGAGCTGTAGAGCAGAGAGAAGTCGTAGAGAAACACGAGGCGCAGCCGAAGTTTGTTAAGTAATATTTCAAAGCCGACAATGAGGACTGGACGGGATTTCAAGTCAAAGCAATTAGTTCCAGTCTGAGGCGCAACCGACTTGAAATCCCGTCCAGTCCGATATTGGAGGCTTTGAAATGACTTCTCATCTCATTAATTATTTGACTTGGAGTAACTGGAACAAAATTAATTCAGTCCTAGGACTGAATTAATTTTGTTCCAGTTACTAGGACTGAATTAATTTTGTTCCAGTTACTCCAGACTGAATGCATTCATTTCCTTTCACTTTACCAGGTTTCAAGTAACATCATGTGACCCAAAAATAGCCTATTGATTGGCTGGTTTACTCATGAATTATTAATGAGTATGAGAAAGTACTTTGCAAAAGAAGAAAACTGGCGGTTTTCATTTCTTGTTAGCATTTTTGGTTCGCGAGATATTAACTTGAGCAGATAATTGTTTGACTTAATTTGTGTCTACGACCATTACAGATATTTTAACCTAGCCTTATTCGATACTACCTCTTGTAAAGGTAGAAATGTCAAAAACCTGAATTTTAAGTAAGGGTGGCCTGGAAGCTAGGCTGTTGCTATGGCAACCTATCTTTATAGTTCATTTTGAAGTCAGAAGTCAGAACAGATTGAGAACTGTAATACTAGCAAATTTGGTTGATTTTGATTGAAATTGGGCTGAGACATAATAGCTTATCATAATCTTACAGGGGGGGCGGAACCGGGTGTGCCCCCCCCCCCCCCTCACGATTTTTTTTACGGCGCATGTGTCTGCAATCAACAGTGGAAGAAGGGATGTGATGGCCGACGTCGAAGAAAATTCAGTATGTAAGTTTGCGTGATACCCGCTCCAAGTAATAGGTTGTTCTCCCTGATATGAGTCTGATTCCGTGGAGACTTTTACTTCTTCCAGCCACTAGTATTCCTTTTCGAGAGCTCGTGCCAACACTTCTTTATTTGCTACTTGATGCTTATCAATTAATGGAACCGGTGCATTGTTGTCTCTAAGGACACAAGGGGGAACCTCCGTGTACCAATCTGGTAGAGGGCAAACTGTTTTGGAAGATGCCTCTTCGATCGGTTCCAAGATAACTGTGTTTCGTTTAATGCCAGTATCCCCTTGGGATGTTTTCTGAAAAAGTGAAATCCCAGTACCATAAAATGACCTCGCGCAGTGTTTGAACTGGGATTGTGATCAATATTATCTATAGCTTTTCTAAGTTTAACTGGACATAAAACTCTTGGACTGGACATAAAATTTATACAGCATTTCCAATGTCAGTTGATATTGAAAGTACTCTGTCATAAGATATGGAAATTCCCAGTTTATAAAGAGCATCTACTAGCTCGCGTTTACGAGTTAATGCACGAGTAGATAGCCCGACGTATAGGGGTACAGGTGTCTCACGATCTCTATTATGACGACCATAACCAGTGCTTTGTTCTCGCCGTCGGAAAGAACAGTTAAACTGAAGCAACTGGGCAATGGTCAAAGCTGCTTGAGAGGTGTTATTTTCCAATTGATCCTGGATGTTGGGTCCGTAGAGAATCATTTTAACCAATGATTTGAGGGATGATGGAACAGAATTTTCTTGACAGTTGCCTTCAAATGTTCCCTGGAAAGTTGACTTTGATGAGAGCATCTCTTTTCTGACAATTCCAACAGCATTTGCAAGGTATTTAGCCTCTGTGTCGCTGTCTTCTTCAAATACCTTTTGAAGAGCCATCCCTATATCACCTTCCGATAGGAAAACAATGTGTCGCGACCTTGTTGGTGGGCTTGTAGATTATAGAAATACTGGAGAGAAGTCTGTTCTTTAATCTAGATGAATTAATGCATTCTTCTTCAAAACCAAGTTGCTCTAAGCGAGAGGTATACTCATGTTGGTAAGCTCTTTTAACCTGAAAACCAGAACACCCTTTATTTCGGATCGTCTTTCCTCCACATATGAGAATAACTCGGCCAGAACGATACCATGACCCACACTTTCGTAGTGTTCTTCTTGGGGTCTCTGTTAGATATTTGTGAGCGTGCTTTGTTGTAAATCGTTGTTAAGCAAGATTTGTGGTACTTTGCTTCCTGTGCTACCATATCTCCGGAGCTTAGTTTGGCCAATAGGTTTTCATCTTGTACAAATTCCAAAGCAAATTGTCGTACTCGACTGTCTAAGCCAAATGTGCTCACATTATGTAGAGGCTCCTTGTTTTCCGGCTCATCACAAAAGAAACATGTGTTCTTGGAACATTCTAGACTTGTTCTTGTGCGTTTTGATTTTCGTGCCGCATTTTCGACAGCCTCCGAACAATATCGCTTCCTAGCTCTATTAAGCTCAGTGCTGTTATACTTCAGAGCACAACTCTTATGCCAAGAAGCACTGTTGCTCGCCAAGCATTTTTCTATTCCATCCCCTTCATGCAAAACTTTATAGTCTAAAGCCCCGTTTACACTGGCGATTTTTGCGGCGATTTTTGCGGCGATTTTTGCTGCGATTTCTTTTGCGATATTGTTCATTGTAAAGTTTTTTTCAGGATACCAAGATTTTCCTAGACGAATGTCTCTTTTAAAAGATGAGACAAAAGATTTCATATTTCCGAAAATTGCCACAAAAATCGCAGCAAAAATCGCCGCAAAAATCGCCAGTGTAAAAACGGGGCTTAATGGAAGAAGTTTAGGATCCAGCTCATAAAACTCTGAAGATTCGAAGCAAGTGTTTAGTATCTTGAACCAACATCATTTCGTTTAGAATTTGCAGGACACTGCAGTGATTCATCTCATTTTGATATAGAACACACTTTGTCCAGTCAAGTCTTTCCATCAAACTACACGATTTATAAACTGAATAGAATATTGAATAAGCTATTTCAGTGTGCTTGAAATCAACGGGTTTTTGATCTTTTATATTTCCCACAAATTGAATTATTGAGTACTAATAAAATAAATGTGTAAAAAGCTGAAGTAATGGAGAGTACTTACCAGCTAAACAGAGAAGCAACAATGAAAACAAAATGGCCGACATCAATGTGTTCAAAATGCATGCTGGGTAGAGTTGGTACCATTCCCTCGTGGTAAAGAACAAATTCAGGGATACCAAAATAGCATATATTTTTGTTTAATCGCTTAAACAGTAATTATTTTCAAGAGCTATGGCCAAGTTATGACATTTTATCACATTGCGATTGTTAGGATTAGAGTTATATTAAGAGCGTTTCAATTTCACAATTTGTGCCTCGATTTCAAGCAAAACTCTGCCACTCCCCAACCCTATAATAGGTTAATTGCATAGTTTCTGTTTCTATTTATCTATTAGCTTGTTATATTCCTATAAAAAACCAGTTTAGAAAACAAGGTGGTAAATTGTGTCAACATGACTAAGTATAGCTGGCCTTATCCTGGATCGTGTTATTTTAGCCTTGTTTCCATGTTAAAATCCCACTAAATACCCTATATGCAGTTTTTAGCAATCTGAGCAATGTCTCCATATCTGAATGTCATTAGGACACCATATTCTCTAACTTTGCCAATTTGGCACTTTTTTTAACAAAGTTCACATAGATTTTGGAATTTAGCCTCGTTTCCATGCAAACCCCCCACTAAATGCCCTATAATAGGTTTTTAGCACTGGTTCTACATCCGAATCTCTTTAGGACGACAAAAGCTCTCACTGTACCACATTTCTTGCTTTTTTAATAAAGTGAACATGTATTTTGGATTTTAGCCTCGTTTTCGTGCAAAGTCCCCCGTAAATGCCCTATGTGACTCCATATCTGAATCTCTTTAGGACACCACAAGCTTTAAATGTACCAAATTTGGTGCTTTCTTCACAAAGTGAACGATTTTTCACATATCCGCCTGACTATATGTTGTGTATGTTGCTCAATTTACAAGCATTGGGAATATGACGTTATCAAGAAAAATGGCTGCCATTTTTTAAAAATCCAATATCTTTTGGAGGAAAAAATATATTTGAAAACGGAAAGTGACATTGTACTTCACTATCAAAGGTCCTTCGATCCCGGCAATATTAAAAAAGAGCAAGTCAGAAATTTGATCGTAGTTGAAAACGTATTACAGTGTAAATAAGCGTTTAGTTGGCAAATAGAAAACCAGAGTTGGTGATGCTCTAAAAAGAATATATCTTTATATATATTATTTTTTYCCTTCGCTTTTTTCGCTTTTTTCTCGCTTGAGGCTAAGTATTTATATTTCTTGGTTGGGTTTCCTGGGTTATTAGTCTTAGTCCACTTGCTCCTATCCCGGCCAAGATGGCGGCCAAGATGGCGGTCAAGTAAAGGGAAATGAAAGCATTCAGCATTTCTTTTGATTTCTACCATCTTTTCATCTAGTTTGAGTCGTTTTTTATGACAAAATGGATCACAAAACGCAGTTGAGATCGCTTCTGGATGATTCACTGGTAAGAAGATTTAGTTTATTGTTTATTGTTGAAACCCGCGACGTTTCCCCATTTTCTAGTTGGAAATAATATTGAACTAGGGATTCTAATGATCAGCAAGGTCTTAATGGGTTATGTGATATACCGACTGATGTACTACACGGAATGGCTATGTCAGAGTACAAGACTCGATTGTACATATATGATAATGAGGATCTTATCGTATAAATGTATGAATATCATTTATAGATATATAATGAGTCCTTTAATGCTAGACATGTTTCGGCAGTCCAGCTGCCATCATCAGTAGTAGGTAATATAGATCACAAAGCTAACTAGTTAATATAGCAAAAAANAAAAAAAAAAAAAAAATCGAAGTAATATGATCATCCGGGTGGATGTAGTCCTGAGAAGGACTGTTTGATGTGACTGACGTTTCGACAACCTGAGCGGAAGTCATCTTCAGAGTCAAGTGAAGAATAAAAGTCAGCTTGGTCATATATATATATATATATATATATATATGAATATGTATATAGTGATGACAATGTATATGATGCGTAAAGAAAACAATTGAGAGAAATGAAATAGAAAACCCTTCCCTCAATAGCCAAGTTAAGCACTTAAACCTATGTCTTTCTATTTGATATGTCACATAACCCAACATGACCTTGCTCATCATTAGAATCCCAGTAGCTCAATATTACATATGTCAGGGCTGTCAACTCTCCCGGATAATCCCCGAAACTGACCATTTCTTGTGAGACTCGACTTTCACAACCATAAAATTCCAATTATTTTATGTTTTTTTGTGTTATTTTACATTGCTAACAAAATCAAAACGTTCCTCATAAACTGTTCTTGCAAGCAGGCCATTGTAATAATTGTAATAAGCGATAATCTGATTGGTCAGAAATAAACCAATCACATCAAATGTTACAAAGTGAAAGACGTCTTTTCATGGGCTTTTGACGCGCTGTGACGTCATGTCCCTTCCCTATCAATTCTCCAGATTTGTATATCTCGGGTGTTGACAGCCCTGACATGTATAATATGCATCCTCAATATCTTTTTTGACTTGATATGTATCTTTGTTTTTCCTCGTAGAAAATTGAGGCATTGGAAGTGGCATTTTATGGGTAAGTTGGAAAAACTTTATTTACTATCTCAAACTGGTCCAGATAGGTAAGAACTGTGCCTCGGCCTGTTGGCAGGCCTTACTCTATATAATTATTCAAGGTCTACATAGGGCACAATTTTTCTTAATCTGAACCTCTTGGCTGATTATTAGCCTCTTTTTCTTCTGATTTTCTTTATTTAGGTTTTTAAAGCCTAAAGAAAATGATGACATTAATGTGAGAAACTCATTTATTGAATCATTCAAGCCATTCTGGGCCACTGTTCCACTGGTAAGTATTAATTAAAAGGAACGTTACCGTTAGCTACATGTATTGTTACCTTATTGTTACCTTATTGTTACCCTACCATTACCTTACTATTACCTAACTGTTACCTTGCCATTTCCCACCGGGGGGGGGGGGGGGGGGGCGCTGGACTCTCTTGGAAAGTGGGTAGGGGGGCCGATGGACCTTTTAGGGTTGAAAATGAGACCTAGCATACCTTTTAGGGTCTCTAGCTGACTCCTGACTGACTCCTGACTGACTCCATACCTTTTAGGGTCAGATTTCGTTTTGAAAAATATCAAATGTCATAAAAGAATATACAGTGTAATGGTTGGAAACGTTGTCATTTTAAATGTGGTCGTACCTTTTAGGGTCTGAAGTCAGCATCTCTGATAATTTATGCGTACCTTTTAGGGTCATTTTCACAACTGTCCGTCGAGCCCCCCTACCCACTTTTCAAGAGAGTTCCCCCCAGGCCATTACCGTGTAGTTACCTTTCATTTACAGTAGTACCTTACCGTAACCTTCCTGTTACCTTACTGTTACCTTACTGTTACTTTACCATTACCTTACCAACCACTAACCATTACAATAAAATGATCCTAGCATAAAAATTCAATATCCTTGATATACCCTCTGCTTCAAGTTAATTTGCGTTTTATTTTATATTTTCTAGGCTTTAAAAGATGAGGTCCTACTGGATTTTGTGGCCTACATTCACCAACAAAATAGTTTGAGAAGAATTGAATTTTGCTTCGATTTTTTAGCGAGCCTTGTTGAAAGCAATGTGCTGTCAGCCAGGTAAAGGGATATCAATAAGCCCATTGTTTTTTTTTCAAAAGTAAAACTTAGGGAGCCTTCATTTTTTAGGAGTAGGGGATTGTGTCCCGGTTCAACAGCCTATCCCAATCTGGAGGCATAATACTAACTTACTAACAAACCAATCATGATTGTAAGCTGCGCAGCTGCTAATAGCACCTTTAATATGCAACCTGTAATGTCCTCCACTGCAATGTAAAGAATCCCATAATTATTTTATTTATTTATTTATTTTAGGAGAGGGAGGGAAAGGGGGCCCGAGGAATTAGGGTGTGTCATCTAATATTTACAAGGTGTAAAAAGGGGATCACCTTTTTTCTGGTAATAGCCTTGTATTTTTGCAAATTTTTTTACAATTAGGTATTGGTAGACCATTTGAGCATTTCAAAACTAAGACAGTTGGGCTAGTACAGTAGATTAGGCACATATGCTAACAGCTATTCCTCCGGCCCTCTACCCCTTCTAAAAAATCAATGCTTCCTTAATCAGCTTCTCTTGGTACATGTAGATCAAGCAACATTGTAGTTGTTTCATTGTTATTTATATCTCAAGAGATTTATGTTAGTCTCGTGTGGTTGCACTGGAAGATTATTGTTATCATTTTGATACTACATCTTTGTACCAGTGAACATAATGAAATATTAAAAGTATTAAAGTATTGCATCTTATTACAGTATTTACTCCTGTTCCTTTTGGGTACATGTGTAGGTCTGTCTGTGAAGTTGTACTCAAGTCAGAGCACCTGAAGTTTGAGAAAGAAATCACTTGGTGCAAGACATTTCAACTGGTTCACAAGATTGTTGGCGGAACTGATTACAAGGTAAAGATAAAATTAATAAATACTAAATGAATAATAATAATAAATAATAATAAATAGTATTATTTAATGTTATTCCTTTAAAGGGATGCCGTGGTGTTTTAAGCCTGGTATTGATCAAGTTTAACAGTATTCCAAAAGATCCTGATCAAGCCTACTCGGATCGTGTCAATCATGCAGTTAAGGTATAAATTATTTGTACAAATGAAAACAATAGATGATTGTACTGTAGTGTTGTGAAATGGCAACCAGTCACACAGCAGCAGATCCAGGGCACATTCTTCCAAAGCCCATAATATATTTCTTGTCCGACATTTGTAACTTTAGCTGTTAGCTGTGTCCTCTACTTGCTGGTGCTAGCTGGCTCATTCTAGCTGGTTCTAAGTCTTTGGATCTTAAATCTATCGAGAGAAAGACTTTTTATTAGCTCATTAAACAAAATAAACAGATTTTACCATTTTCTTAACAGGTGCTTCAGTATATTCTTGATCGTAAAGCTTGTCTCCTTCCAGCCTACTTTGTCATCAGTGAGGTGAGAATTAGAGGTTGATAAGTCTGTCAGCTAGTCAGTTACTCAATTAATCCACCAGTTAGTTAGTCAGTGGGTCAGTCAACCAGTCCACCAGTTAGTCAGTCAGTCAGTTAATCATCCAGTCTGTCTGTCAGTTTCATTCAATCATTCTTTCCTCGAGTCAGTCAGTCAGCAAGTCAGTCATTCAGTCATTAAAACAGTTTATCATATGACCTGTACGGCCCTGCTTGCGCGCTCTAATAAAACCATTGGAAAAAGTCACGTGATGGGGGCCAGACGGGCTGATGTAAGCGGGCCGGAAAAACCCGTCCGGCCCTGCTCGAATCCGCGCACTTTCTTTTTCTTAATTATTTTTATTTTCGTGAGGSTYATATGATAAAATGCTTATTGACTGAGTTAGGTCGGGCCGTACGGGAAAATATTTGGCTCTCGGTCATTTGTATGGACCTTGCTGCACTCGGTCCGTACAACATGACCTCGAGCCAAATATTTTCCCGTACGGCCCTCCCACTCAGTCAATAAGTACATAGTATTTTCTCTCTTCAGATTTATAATCATTATCCTGAGAATACAGAAAATCCAGTAACTCCTCACTGGGTAAGAACAACTTTATAAAAATTAATAGAGTATTAAATGAAACAAAATTGACAGAAATGACTTGTTATAGTGCAAGATCTGTGGAGATATGTTGGGCTCATAGTCTGGGTTGAATATTAGGCCATTTGCACTAACAGGTCATCAGGCTACACACAAGTACCAGACCTCAGTGTCAAAATCAACTCCAAAAATGAAAAGAGCGTCTCCATATTACAAGAATGTGAAGTTTCGGCTCAAAATAATCTGCACAGCAGAAATAGTGTGAAATATGAACTTATTTTAAATTATAATTTGTATTGAAAAATAAGCTTGACCTATTAGTGCAAATGGCCTATTTTTCTGTACTGTACAGTAGATATGGAAAAATAAGTTTTCAGAGGTTCAATTTTCAAAATGTTGTTATAACCTACATGTAATCATCATTTCAGTCAATCAGCAAGTTGCTGTCTTCTTGTGTGGATACCTTCAGACCCCTGGCTCATCTTGTGACAGTCACAGGTAGAACAGAAGAAGGCTTAGTTCATTTTTCTCTACAGAAGGCTCCCACATGGGAGCCTTTTAAAACAATATTTTTAGTAGTGATAACTTTTTTCTGTGTTTAAATAAGTTATTTATTTTCCCAGGTCGTTCATCATTGCTGCCTATTATTGGACACCCTGGATCATCTATTGGTGTATGGAAACTGGATCCTGTTACCAGATCCTTTCCTCTAAAGGGGCTTTTACCATATGACAGAGTTAGTACAGAGCACAGTTTGGCCAATACATGGGCAACACATGGCCAATAGTTGGTCAACGCTTGGTCAACACACGGCCGATAGTCGGCTGACTGTCGACCAACAGTCGAGTGATATTGGTTCGACACATGTCACCTGATCATGAAGTACATGATTACCGCACAGTTTTTGCATGACTRCGAAAAGCCTGGCGCTGTATGCATACCTTGCCACAACCATCATGTTTTCTAGAAATTTGATCAGCTGAATTATTTCTTGTGCAATGTTTGATGATGATGATGATGATGATGATGATGATAATGATGATGATAATGATAGTGATGATGGTGGTGGTTGTGATGATGGTGGGGATAATGGTGGTGATGATAATGGTGGTGATAATGATGAAGATGACTATAAAAAAATACATGAAGCCAGTAGTTGTTAATGTTTGTACGTAGGAAATGCTCGAGCCCCAGAAGGAGCTTCTTCAGTATGTGATTGGGCAGCCTTATTCACGTGACGTGGTCTGCACATTACTTGGCCTTAACAAACAGGTATTATAAAATAACAGAGTTCTAATGCATGCTCTGGGGCCCTTTCTATTTACCTGGAAAAGCTGGAAATTCTGGTTGGAAAAAGAAATGGTACTGTGTGTGTCATTCCAATCTGTAAGTTCCAGAAAACTAGCTCAGTCTTCAGATTGAGGTAATCCACTTTTTTCACACTTTTCTATTCTTCCGGTAGAAAGTGTACCATTTGTCTGAATTCAAATTTTCCCTCTCTTTTTTTATCAAAAGCAAACAAATTTTCAACTGGATGATTGGTTTAAATGGTAATCACCTCTGATTGGTCAAAATGTAATTTTAAACAAAGTACTTTACAGTACCACTCACTTCAAAAACACTTAAAATATAAATTTAAAAAAACTGTCCTTGAGAAAAACCAGGAGAAAAACCACATCACAGCCGTGGCTGAGCCTGAGCAAAATGAACTCAAAATTGGAGTATACATGTACGTGTATTATTTGCTGAAGACAAAAAGAACTGAATTATCCAGTTGGAAATTTATTAACAGACAGCTTGGTGGTGCAGTGGTTAGTGCTTCTGACTTTCACTCCAGAGATCAGTGGTTCAAGCTGAGGGGTAAAATTTGTAAGGTGTAAAAACCTTGGCTCTCTACATTGGGGACTCAGTGAATCCCTCGTGGGAGTCCCGTCTCCAATTTGGGGACATAAAAGAACCACTGAGGATGCAACAAACCCTAGCAGCGACCACCCTCAGTGCTGGCGATGAGGTCGGCCTGGCATAGTGTTCCAAAAAGGTTACCTACTAGTGAATAAGACCCCTTCACATTACCCACAATAAATAACCACAGAAATAATCATCATAACCACAGCTACATGTAGTATATCAATGGAATGTTGCTGGGTGCTGAATGGAAAGCAAAGAACTATTATAAAGCATTTCATTTTAACAGTGCGTTTTCTTTCATTTCCTCAGCAAAAGCAGCGATGTCCAGCATTAGAAGAACTTCTAGTAGATCTGATCGTCATTGCCATGGAGAAGACTGAAAGTCACCCAACAGGCTTGAATGAGTCTGGATGCCAGTTGCTATGGCACCACCTCTCCAGCCACCTTATTTTCTTTGTGTTGTTTCAGTTTGCTAGCTTCCCGCACATGGTTACAGCTCTGTATGATAAGGTGTGTTGTCATGGTAGATCTAGATATATAGGCTGAGTAATATCTCGTATTTTGATGTCTGATCTGATCTGGATCATCAACAAGCATGCAGAGATCATTAAAATTTTTTGGGGAAAAAACGAAAACAAAACTCTCTCACCATTATTTTTCTTAAATTCCCTTGTGTTAAAAATGTGTTAAACTCACGTCTCTGTAAATRTTCCCCAATATTCACTTTATCTTTGGTTAATAATTGTTAATTACAAAACTTAAAAAATCACTTCTCACAAATGGCTGAATATGATGAACATTCTCTACGTGCGTTGAGGGGTTTTCTCTGGGTTCGAATATGGAATGAGGGCCACAGGTTTCTTAGCCAATGGCTATTCACAGTGCTATCCTTGTAAAACAAAAAAACAACTGAGGTATAACATGATCAGTCAGTGTGACCAGTCAAAAGGAATGACTTAACACTAGCATTTTGTCAAACAAGTGCTAGTTTTGGTATTGTTCATTGGCAGGCCATCATTTTTAGCCTTGTCAATGAGTTGATAGCTTAATACTTACTTACTACCTGTGTTTGTTTCTCCAAAGCTTCTGGGAAGAACATTGAAGAAAGGCAGAGATCATTTGATGTGGGTTTTGCTACAGTTTATTTCTGGTAGTATTCAGAAAAACCCGGTATGTTCTTAATAAAAACGTTTATAATACACAGTCATACTTTGAAAAAAAAAAAAAAATTGAATATGATAAATTGTTATTCATATTTTCTAAAATTTTCATGAATATTTAATGAGGAGAAAACAAAGCAAATCACTACTGTGTCGGTGGTTTGGAAATGTGTTCTTAATTTGCATTAAATTTCGTAAACTTTTTCTTTGTTTTCTCCAAGAAATATTCATGAGTTTGAGAAGTAATTTGAAACACTTGAGAGAGTTCTTCCTTCTCGGCTGCGCCTCGTTTTTTCAACTCACTTTTCGGTGTTTGGAAATCGGAGGAAGAACTCTCTCGAGTGTTTGAAATATTACTTCAAACTGGGCCTTTTTCTGACCTTAATTTGAAATTAATGATAGGAACAGCAAGGCTGCAAATGAGTATGTAGTTTCCTATGCACATTGGGGAGTGAGTGTTGGGTGATGACACTAATGACGGCACTGGACAAATGTCCAGTAAAAATGACCACCTACTGTTGCAAAGGGGGAATAAAATGTGTTAATATAAACATAGTGTGTTAATAAACGAATCTTTTTTAAAAATTTTATTAATTTTTTTTTAATATATCATTTTTATTTTCCAACAGCTGAGGGATTTCAAGCCTGTCTTGAGACTCTTTGAGTTGTTATACCCTGAAAATGAGGTAAATGCATGCATGAAAATGCATAGTAATTTAGAGTTTCAAAATTTCATTTTACATTTTACACAGGAGCACATGTGAGAGAAGGCTATTGCTCTATCTTTCTGTGCTCAAAGATTTGTACTCCCTTTGGAAAAATCTACTTTAATTTGATTAATTTCTGCTGAGTCTGGATTCAAAATATTTCATTGGTGAAGGTAGTCAAGGTATATAAGATGCAGCATCTACAGTATGTGCAATTAGCAGGCTTCTCAACAGGAGATAATAGTTCACTTGCATTATAGCATCATTTACTACCACTACCAAACAGCCTTCACACTTTCTTTTGTTCAGTTCATTAGCACAAAATATAATTGTCTTACTATTCTCATGATGAAATGCAAATTTGAATAAGAAAAAAATTTCACAAAGCATTTTGGTAGTGGTAATAAAATGATGCCATCATGCATATGGCAGTTTCTATTTCCATCCATAGAACATATTTGCCGTCATTCATAATTTCTCATTTGTTTAAAGCTTCTTCCAGAGCCAGATATCAACAGTCCTGAGTCTGTTCATTCACTTGCCATGTCTTGTATCTGGATTCATTTGACTCAGAAGGTATGCTGTCTTGCTGTTTTTACCAATACTCATAATTGGTATAGTTTCAAAGCACTAGTGCTAATGGAGCTACAAAAGCAGGTTTTGTTCACATAATGTTCTGAACTCGGAACCCTGACCCTGTTCCAGAGTATAAAAAAAACATACCCTGTTTGGCAGCATGTACCTGTGTAGCGAATATAAGGGAGCACCCCCCCCCCCCCCCCCCCCCCCCCCCCCCCCCCCCCCCCCCCCCAGGTATCTTTGTCAATTTTACGATTTTTCCAAACAATGTATAAAGAAGTGAGGAAGTTTTGTTGTTTCTAGCATTGTTTACTAGTATGTCAGTAACACTTATAGGCATTCAACTTTGTGCATGTCTGGTGCAACTTCTCTTGCTCCAAAATGCAAGCCAAGTTGCATGGAACATTGAATAGAGCAAGAGCAGCTTAAAAGAACATATTTTACTTGTCTGAACAATTAGGCAGAGGGAGAAAAGTTGACTATAAAATCACCTACTTCACACATCCTCAAAAAGCAGCTTGAGTAAGTACAAAAAGATTTATTTACTTGAAAAGTTTGTAACCGACAACCAGTTTCAAAATAGTTTGATTTTCTTATTTCATTGAGAAAGCAGAGCCATGGCAAAAGTAAAAATGCTCAGACTCGTGAAAGCATTTTACCTTGTGCGTAATGTTTTCCTAGGTCAGACCACATGTACATAGGAGCAGGCGTAGTTCAATTGGTTAGTGTGCGGCCTTCAGAGCTAGGTTTCGATCCTCAGGAACTCCCAAGTCTGTTTCGACTTCTCTCTGTTCTGTGTAGCTTTAATTAGCTTTAAATACCCGTAAAAAGGAGCATTGATAGTAAGAGGCGGTAGAGGCACACCTTCGAGTACATTAAACATGAGCCCCTGGCTCGGGAGATTTGGGCAACCATTCCCCGCCTTATTGAAGTAAAACAAATTACCTTTACCTTTCACATTCTCTTGAGAATATGATTCTTTGTTTGAGCTGTATCTATATTCATGTGTCTCCTTATGTACAACCATTAAACAAAGAAATGATACTCTAGGGAATGACACGTGGTCTTGAGAATAAGATTCTTTGTTTGAGTCGTATCCATATTCATGTGTCTTCTCATGCACAACCATTAAACAAAGAAATGATACTGTAGGGAATGACACGTGGTCTGAAATGGGAAAACGTTGCACCCAAGGTAAAGAGGTCTATTTTATAGATGTGGGAAAAGTTCTTTTAAAAGTAACAGTAAATATATAGTAAATTTATAATGGAAAAAAGGCAAAATACTTCTATGATCATTATTGTAAGCTGTAAATGATGATGCATTGCTGATGAAGTTTTGATTTTTTCTTTTAGATTTATACACGAGTGTTCTAATGCAAAGTCAACTCCTTATTCCATGGGCAACTATGCTATTCCTATTCTCTGCAATGCTTGTAAGTTCAGAAGTGAGAGGTGACTGCAATTCCACAACACCACCCTTGATTCCCCAGAGAATTGAAAGTGGGTTAAAAGAATCTAAAAGTATCTAACATTTCCAGTATGTCGACATTCTGCTTGAACTGGAAAAAATAAACGAATGGGAATATCCATTCATTTTCCATTCCTTTTTCCCATTCAGATAGTACTATTCCCACACGATTCAGTGTTGCCATGTCTGTCCTTGTGGAGATGTGTTTTGGGAATGGAAAGCCAAGTACAGCTCTTCCTGGACCATCCAATACTCTTGCTTCTGGTCCTACTGTTCCCTGTCCAATGAGCTTGTTGGATTCCTTGACTGTACATGCTAAAATGAGGTACCACGAAACACCATCTATCACCACGACTACCCTCCTCCGCATGCATCTCTCTTGTCTCTTCTCTCCTTTTGAGTATTAGGCTTCCTGTGTCTTTAGGATCAACAAAAAAGAAAAGAAAGACGAAAGACGCCTGTGGAGGAGGCTACATCACAACCACTGTAACAGTAAAGCCCTGGCTAATTCAGGGAACATGGACCTTTATCATATGGCAGTCGTGTTGACTGAAAAAAATAGATTTCCCCGCGCTGCCTTGCATTCAAGCTTTTCAGAACGAGGTTTCACATGTTAAACAAAGTTGTTTTTTTTTTGTTCCATGTTAACCGCGTGCATGCTTTCTCAATGCATTCCAGTTCATAAACCTGCGAAACAATGCTACGCACAACAAATTTTGCTTCTAAGAAGCGAAATCTGTTTTTGCAGTACAGAATAAGCATTTCGTGTTCCTGCGCCACATGGAAACAATTGTACACTTGTTCCCCAATTTTTCCTGATACTTTAGCCACCTTTGGAAACAATTCACAAAGCATGTTTATAGAAACATGTTTCCTCGTTTAGTCAGGGCGTAACTGCAACATTACCGCAATTTTCAATATTACATGAAGTCAGTAGTTGCAAGTTGTCTATTAATTTGGTTTTTCACTGCCAATGTTTTCCCATTTCAGACCGCGTGTCATTCTCTGGAGCTTAAGACTCTGTTTGAGTTGTATCTAAATGTATGTGTCTTCTCGTGTACAACCATTAAATAAAGAAATGATACTCTAGGGAATGACACTTTGTCTGAAATGAGAAAACATTATGTCCTAGAGGTCTATAGACCCCTTGCAGTACGTCGGAGTGCAGCTTAGTTTGGAGTACATTCCCAATTCTCAGGAGATTGAAATTCTTTCGTTTTGTCCTCCAAATCGAGCTGCTTTGACGTCAGATACAAGGGGTCTGTTGCTTGTAAATGTGTAATAGTCAAAGAGATCTGTCTACTAACTATACTGTGAAAATTCTTTACCAGTTTGATCCACAATATCTATTCTCGCATCATGAAGATGGGGGCGACGGGGGCTACTGTGGCTCTTGCTCCTGCTCTAGTAGAAACCTACAGTCGTCTGCTGGTCTACATGGAGATAGAATCTCTGGGAATCAAAGGATTTATTAGTAAGAAGATTTATCTATAGTGTGCTTTTTAATAAACTGAACATTAATCTCTTCCACAGTAGGAGCTACCGTATTTACTCTTTGAAGCGCCGTGGTGGCGTTAAGTCGGGACGGCGTTTATTCGATGGCGGCGTTGACCATATATACAAAGACTTTATCATATTGGTGTACTCAATTAATACGAAATTATTAGTTTACATTGATTACACATTTGGTTACACACTTAATTGTATCATCACTCTATAATCCCACATAAGCAACTATTGTATTATTTTCAAGTTCTCTTTCCTGTCCAAATAAAGGATTTATTTGGATCGTTTCTATTCGCATTCTTTCGAGGGAAAACTATGACTTATGGAATCAGTCTAGTATAGTTTGGGACGATATAATTAATCTGCAATAGGACTACATGTCTGTTCAATTTGGAAATAACTGAATTCAAAAAATCCCTCTGACTGCCAAATTCGACTCAGCCTCTTCCAATTTTGTCAGTCCTCGGAATTTTTTTCATCCAATTATTTTCAAATTGGACAGCATGTAGTCCTATTACATATACTTATCAGACAACTCCTTGAGGCTGATTGTTTTTCAATTCGCCTTGCTTGGCTTACGAGCGCATTGTTCACTGGCTTCATCATCATATTTGCTATTTTTCTTGGTTCTTACTCATTAACTCGAGTGCCAAACTTACAGGAAAAAGAAAACAAATTAAGAAATCGCACTTTTTCTCGATGGAATTTGTGGCATTTATTTTGTATTTTCTTGTTAGCCCGGCATCTTAAGAGGATTATCTTTGTTTCCATCGCTAGGTCAACTTCTCCCTACTGTCTTCAAAGGTCATGCCTGGGGTATACTACACACATTATTAGAGATGTTCAGCTACCGCCTGCACCACATCCAGCCAGTCTACCGCGTTACTCTTCTCTCTCATCTCCATTCTATAGCAAGTGTACCTCATACCAACCAAAATCAACTCCACCTATGGTATGTGTTAGTCAGTAGTTCTTTCTAGTTCGAACTTCCACTTTAAACCCTGGAACCATTCCACTTAGAAGTAATGTTTTCATGATATTCAGCGGGTAAATCTTACTGCTATTTTGACAAGCATACGAACTCTGTATCTGCTAGTTACACTCTGAAATTTGGTTTTTCGCTGCTACCAGTCAAAAATATGGAAGGTACCGACTGTTTTGTTTTGATTGACGGCAGCGAAAAAACAAATGCCAGTGTGAAACTCGCAGCTACCGAGTTCACGTGTTTGTGAAAATAGCAGTTAAGTTTCTGAGAAATCGAGCTTCAAAGTTTGAGGGGGAATGGAATAAGATTCTATCCAATCAAGAGCCAGGCTTCGTGCATGCGCAACGGATGAAAACCGCATTTCCAACTCTACAAAGTCTTTACATACCTTGATACCCTATCAAATATTGCCAATTCATGAAACAAATGTTGGTTAAAAAGTTTAAGTGTATTAACTCGGCTTCATTTTTTAGCGTGGAGAGCACGGCTTTGCGACTGATAACAGGACTTGGAAGCTCAGAGGTGCAGCCACAGTTATCGAGATTCACTTTTGAACCAAAACAAGTAGGTTGTTTATATTTCAACTTAATAAAGCACACTTTCATTTCGGCCTTGTTCTTCCAAATCCTTGGCCACATTGAGCAACTCATTGTTGTGTTGTCGCGTTGCAGGAGACACTCAGGGTTTTGTGACGCATGTAGCAAATTTGTATGCAAAATCTTGATTGTAAAACAGACAGACAGATAGAAAGACAGACAGACAGACAGACAGACAGACATACAGTGTGACCCCAGAGGTGAGGGAGAAGTGCTCTACCTCTATACCCCACCCCAGGTTTACTTTGACATGAAATTATTATGTTCGCACCTTGCAAAATATACCTCATTGCTACTTTCGCAACGTCGCGCACATAATAAGTAGAAGCCACGTAAATAGTGGAATGCTTGTAATACTACGTCATCTTTCCTCTATAGATTCTCTCAGCAGAGTCTGAAGAATTGAATCGAAGTCTTGTGCTGACCATTGCAAGAGCCATGCACGTTACAGGTTTGGCTTTTTCAACTTTATCTTCAAGCTTTTAATTACCACTCTTTTCATTGCTACGGCCTGATCGAGACAACAGTTGCGACAGGAAAATTGGGCAATACACTTCTGTCAATCAAATAAATTGGTCGGTACCTTTATATTCTCTGATTGGCGGCAGTGTATTGCACTATTTCCCTTTTGCGACTATTCTCTCGATCAGCGCGTAGCAGTGAAAAGAGTGTTAACCGATTCCACATTAGCACATGTCTCTGTACTGTGATATAAATACGCTTGGAGTTGTAGAGTACGAGAGAAGCAAGCTTAAAAACACGAGGCTTTTTGAGTGCTGTACAGCTCCCAGATTTCACAGTACGGAGAAATAAGCAGCCGTTTTATATTGCTTTTATAAAATATTTTTGATCGATTTTGCGCTAGCGTGTCTCTGTCCTCTGATACAGCGCGCAAATCTTTTTATTTCAAATATTTTATGAATTGTGTTACGGTGACTAAAATGTCCGGACATTGTCGTCGGATTGTCATACGTGAATACACTGGCTTTTCTCCCCATTTTTAGACAACTCTCCAACCCCCCAAAACCTAACTTGTTTTTGTATCTTGGTTAAATTTAAAGGAGCCGAGTCCTGTGGCAACTGGTGCGAAGGGATTCTTAGAACTTTGATTACTAACACTCCACATAGGTTAGTGTAGTGGCCAGTATTCCTAGATAAAATAGTTGGATTTCTTTGTTCGCCACAAATTTCAAGTTTGCCATCTTCCCCTCTCCTCCCCAACCTTGATTGTTACAGACTTGATATATTTCAGGATTAGCACTAATCTAACATTAAATGGACGTTGATCACCTGTTGACTGAAACATAGCTCAAATAGACCCATTCACGGTTCCTCTGCCATTTTGAATAAATTATGATAATGAAAATGAGACGAACGTTTAATTGTTCTCGTTTCTTGTTCTGTTGATTATAAGACTTTGCAGTGTCTTCCATCATATGTTACAAAGTGCTTGTTGATTATAAGACATGGTAGTGTCTTCCATCGTCTCTACGGATGTTACAAAGTGCTATCGGTTTTCCTCAACAGCTTTTCTGTTCAGTTTAATCTAGTTTGTAAATATGTAACTCACCGTTCGTCTTGTTTCTAATCATGTTAATTATCATAATATATTCAGTATGGCAGAGGAACAATGAATGGTACTATCAGTAGCTCAGCCTTGGCTGTTAGTCAGAGCTGTTAGTCTAACTTTCTTCTATCGGTATTTCCAGCTGGGCTTCTCATACCCTAGCGTGCTTCCCGCAGCCCCTCCAACAGTTTTACAACCAGAACCCGTGTCCTGTTGAAACCAAACAAGCCCTAAAAACACGAGTAGAGGATGAATTTCGTCGATGGAAAGGTAGACAATTTTTCCCATTTCTTTCTCTTTTCTTTCATCTCACTTTCTCTTTCTTTGTAATTCTAGAATGAAATCGTTGTAGGCACTCTTTCTTCCCATTTTTGTTATCTCTTTTCTTTTTTTCGTTTTCTTGTCTTCCATTCGTAATGCAAATTAATATCTTCGAAGTCGTCGTCCCCCCCCCCCCCCCACCCCCCACGTTCTGCCTTTATTAAGCCTGAAAAAAGGCTCGAATTGAGTCTTAAAAATCCTGTTTGAACTCTGGATTCCAAAGAATGACTGATTTTCGTCTGTAATTTTCGTTTCAGGAATGACATCAGAAAGTGAAATTCTTACCCATTTTGGTGAACCTACTTCATCAAATGTTTTTATCTGGTAAGATCAACAACTGACTATTTTTACACATCTCTGTAGCTTCTTAGGAGTTGGGAGTGAAGCGTTGCGTGACCACACTAGTTTGTTTTCTTATGATTTCTTCATGGTTTGTTCTTGACAGTATTTTGTGGAAGATTCTTCTTGAATCTGGTAGACTCAGCACAACGTGTCACAAGTAAGTCGACTCGAGTAGAAATAATTGGGAGACTTGCGTGCTAATAGGCATATCAAGGGGTGAACCGTATGAGAYCAAAAAGATAAAGAAAACCTAGAGAATACACCGTTACAACGATGTATGTAGGTGATGCTAAGTAAAAATGTTAGTTGAAGACTTAACTGTAGTCAGGCTGTCTTTCAGATAAGAAAATCAAAGTTCGTTTAAGTCATACTATGGAGACCTCGAAAAGATAAAGCATTGCTTGATTTTCATTGAAGGAAATAGGCTATCTTTAAAAAAATTGATTAAAATGTTGTATTTTCCACTGGCTGAGGAACGAAATAAGTGGAAAATGTTTTCTTACACCACTGGAGCCTGGGCCAAGGGATATTAGTCACGTGGTCAGTGTTTTCATCAGTTGCTTTTTCGCTGTCCGCCATGACTGTTAGTTAGCCCCACAGTACCCCCCCC